CCTCCTGCCTGCCCTGCTCCCCCTCTGCCTCTGGGCAGCCACCAGCAGCCGTGATCGCCCCGGCCCAGCCACGTCCCTTGCTTGGTAGGACAAGAAAGCCGTCCCCGAGGGGGGAGAGTGTCACCTTCAAGGAATTCGTACTGCCCTTGAGATATTTTGCCTTGTAGCAGAGGCGTGGCAGGAGGCTAAAAGGCTCCTGTGTTCGCCTGGGGTTTTTCCATTATAAATACGACCAGGTTTGCCCTGGAAGAGGGGAAGCCGGAGAGTGAGCGAGTGCCCAGCTCAGCGGGGCAGACGCCATCTGCCCCATCCAAACTGCTCACAGCACGTCAGCTTGTTTGGGTCAAAGCATCTTTGAATGCAAGCCTATGGAGAAAAAGCCCTCCCAAGCCATATAATAAAACACTGAGAAGGCTCCTAGCCTTCCTGAACGAAGGCTGGGCTTTGCCTGGGACTTCTTAAATACATCACTGCATCAACTGCCACTGTGCAACAGATGCTGCCAGCCCACTCGTGTTCCCCAAGTTGCAGAGGCCGGTGTAGCACCTCTGTTGCCGCTGCCCTGGAGCGTGTGCTGGACTTATTTTAAGCAGAAACCCCGTTTTCCTGCCCAAAAGTCCTTTGGGGGGGATGTTAGCATCCCAATGGGCCGGTGCACAGCACGTCCCTGATGCAGCAGCCAGTGCTGTCCTTGCTGCGCTGACCTCACCCAGGAACACTGCTCATTACTCAGAGATAAGCAATTAAAACAGAGCGAGCTGCTCTCTCCCAGGGAGGGTTGGGCTTAGCCATGGCATTATGAGACCCGTCTCGGCCAAGGAGAACAGAGCAGCCGCGTTCCCCGAGCTGGAACCCAGTGGGTATCAGGGAAGGGGATACAGGAACCCCCATGGTGGCACAAGGTAGTGGTTGAGCTCTGGTTCTTCGAAGCACTCGGGGACAACAAGCTCCTGGAGCTGCTTAAAATCTCTGTCCAGGTCACAGCAGAGAGTGGAGAGATTTGGGGGTGCTCACTGCCATGGGCCAGCCCTATGGCCAGCCCTTCCCAAAGCCCCCCGGCTTCTCCTTCCCCCACAGTGATGGGGGCACAGGCAGCTCTCCGGCTTAGGGGGACCCATCCCAGGCCACGGGGACATCATGCCCTGAAGCTACTCTGGAGGTGGATTTCTGAGCCTGGACCTCCATGATCTGTGATGCAGTACCAAGGCCACGGGGCGAGCTGGGAATGGCGAGGCTTGGGAGCCAGCCACGCACTGGGCTGGGTGTATTTATACTCTGGGTGGCCAAAGGTTTTTCTGGCTGCTGGGAGGGCATCTGCCTGCCAACGGCCCATCCTGGATGGAAAACAAGGTGCTGCTCAGCACCCCCAGCTCCCACAGGCAGCGGTTTCGTCCGTGGAGCAGAAGCAGGGAGCCCGTGGGGAACGGGGGTGTTGCACGCATTTCACCCCTCTAGCATCGCTCTGCATCGCAGGCTTAACAGAACAGAAGGTAACGAACACTGCCCCATAATTAGCCCCCTAACTGGGCTTTGGATTTTTGCGTCCATGGAGAAATAAAGCAGCTAGATGGGCACAACCAGGGGCCATGCCACCATGGGCAGGTCAGCAGGATGCAGCATCCTCCCGGTGCCTGCTCCTGCTCCAGGAGCATCCCTGTCCCCAGCACCTCGTGCACCTTCCCCGTAGCTCAGCGCTCCGCTGGGGATGTCCCCAAAAGCCACCCCCCTGTGGGGACATTGGGCCAGTGGCCAGGAGCAGCTGGCTGCCGAGAGCCACTCGCCCAGAGCCAGATGAACTCCTCCCCTTTAAGAGACTCCCGGCCACACGGAAAAAAGGTGCCCCCACCAGCCATGACTCAGTCCAGCAGCGGAGTGGAAGGAGAACGAGTAAATACACGGCCTCAGTCCCACGAGGCTGCGAGGAAGGGCCGGATGCTCCCCGCGCGCAGGCGGCTCCAGCTGCTTTCTCCGGCACCGGATAGAGCGGGGCTGTTTGCACAGGCAGGAGGGGAACAACCAGGGCTCACCGTCCCACTGCCAGAAGCGCATTTCCGTGCTGGGGGAAACTGAGGCACGGAAAAAGGCTGTGCGTCACCCAGCAGGGTAAGCACCAGGTCTCCTGCATCACAGGTCAGTGCCCCTCACCAGCTCCCCGTGGGGGTCCCCAGGATGGAGAGGGACAGGGTATAACCCAGCGCCAGAGCGGAGGACATGGCAAATTGTGGCAGCACAATGTCCCCGATGGGCAAATCGCGGCCGTTCAGGGCTGCA